TACTTGGGCAAACAGTCCAGAGTCGATAAGTAAAATTGTCTCACATGAGCTCGAGACATACATTTCAGAGTTAAATATCAAAGTACTTAAAGTAGGGAGTAATAGGGAAAATTGCCTTTCTTTTGCTCCCTTTAATTACTTTTTCCAAAACAAAAATGTCACTCCATTCTTTAATTTAAGACAAACCATACCATCTTAAGGTTGGGTTGCATATATACCTCCTTAGGTATAAATAGGTGAATGGACAAGCAGTCAATAAGTAAAATTGTCTCATGTGACACATACATCAAACTTAAATATCAAAATACTTAAGTACAAGGTAGTGTTAAGCAGTGCTAGTGTGTTCAATTACTATATAAATGTGTCTTTGGTATGAGTTGATATTACAATTCCACAGTTGGCTGTTAGCCAGTCAGAAACCAGAAATAAGATAACCTCCATAGTTTGTCATAATCATCATGAATTACATAACATGACTATTCATATTGGTACAAGGTAATGCAGGGTGTAATATGTATACTGGGTTTGGTGATTAATCCAAAACTACAAAGTTGTCTGGCAGTAATCAAACCTATGGCCCTGCGGTTCCTGGTCCTAGGTCTTAATTAATTGAATAGTGTCTATACATATCAGTGGTGTAACTTTACTTTTTTGACCACTTGCCCTCAGGGCAAGTTGTACATGAAAATTAGTTGCCCTGAATAAAATTCACTTGTCATCAGACAATGGCCACTGGGATACCTAGGTAGGGGGTATGAAAATTAAAGGGGCAATATGTTGACCTGTTCTCCCACTGCTTTATTTTAGGCCACAAAAAAACAAAATTTGAATCAATCAAGATGCCCAGCATTTTGTGGCAAGGCAACTTGCCCAATCGGGCAAGCAAGATAAAACGTGTACTTGCCCGTCGTGATATTCACTTGCCCCAGGCAAGCGGGCAAGTGTTAAGTTACACCTCTGCATATATATTGGATTATCGACCAAACCGAGTATTCTAGTCCAACCAAGTGAAGTGCAAATAATATCCTTAAAGTTGTAATATGTATAGTAGGCCTATGTTAAGCAGAGATATGGCCGTGGGCAGAGAGTAGGGATATGCTGGATTGGGTTACTGGCATCCGGCAAAATATAGGCCATCCAAAACTATCAATGCTGTGCCACAGATATTTATGCTTAATATATAAAGTGATAAAGCACATATTAAATAAACTATGGACTATTGTTAGTGATTCTGATTATATTTGCTGATTTTTGAGAACTATATTTGGAGCCGGGGCTACATACAAGCACTGCCCAGCTCAAATATCAATCTTGAAATATACAAAGACAACATTTGAGGCACTGTCAGCACTATCATTGCAAACATCACTTTATACAAGTGAAGCTCTTTATAAACCCACTATTAAAAGATTTTCCCCTTGACAATTAGTTAAATCTTGTGACAATTTTTATGGACAGAGTATTATGCAATACAGTAGAGCACTTGAGCTTGACACATTAAGGATAGATTTATATTGACACACTAAAAATAGCATATTAAATGCTGTCGTTTCTCTCTGATTCCAATCCTTATTGAAGTACTAAAATGCAAACATATCTTTAAAAGCATTCGGATGTTTAATAAATATTATTTCTTATAATTATTTACCCAGCTTGACAATAGTCTTAACTCTTACTCTTAAGCAAAGTGCCATGTTATGCCAAAGAAAATATTGCTAAATTGTTAATAATAGTGTGAAATTTAGTATAGAATTCACAATAATAGGTTCGAATTTATATTTCATTCTTTCTTTGCTGCCAGAAACCAACATTTTGTATGTTTTATAAGCAAAATTGAACGCGGCAAATTCAAACATTCAACGGAATTTTACACACGACCCACATGGCTCAAGTTAACTATCATATTCACCACATTATTTCGCAATTAAAGGGCTTAAATAATAAGTCAAATACAAAAGTATTCTTACCTGTGACATCTGAATAACATGTTAAGAACTTTCCGATTCCTTTCCCACCGCTTAGATTAAAAATATCAACGAAATATTCCAAGCACCGCAGTGATCATACCAAATATTTTTCCCCGTGGATATTCGTCCGACACCGGATCTTCCTGCTTCACGGCTATTCATCCGACAACGCTTTAAAAGCTAAAACTAAACACTAAAAGGGTTGCGTTGTTTCTTAAGAACGAAGCAACAACATATTCGATACGCTATACGTTTCGTACGCGGTGCGTAAGCGAAAATCACGAAGAAAAAAAAAGTATAAAAAAAAATAATAAAATAGTGTCGCGAGCAGGAATCGATCCCAGAACTTGGCGCACACAATACGGGTGCCTAAACCACTACACTACGAAGGATTTGCTTGAAATTCGACTAAATTTACGCTGTTTTAATTTTAACGACTTTAACGATATGGAAATGTCGGACGAATATCCACTTCCAATATTTTTTATCACAAATAAAACGATGCTATCCCATAAAGCTTTGCGCTCTGAAACGTAAACTAGTCACCAGGGCGCCCAGTTGAAGCGCTGTTTGGGATAAAATTCCAACAGGAATGCTTGCATTTAATAGGGACCATCAGGAATTTTATAATATAGAAATCCTAGCTAGCTAAACACATTGAGACTAAAAACATAACCACTGAGTATTTTAGCAAAATATAAAACAAGTGCAACTCCAGTTAAAGGTCGATAACAATATATATATATATATATATATCGATGTAGATAGATATCGATCATTTCAGTTACACTTGTTTTCAGTGGCGTAGCTGGCTGAAAAAAATCGTCCCGCCGAAGGCGGACCCCTCGCTCGCACCGAAGGTGCGACCTTCCTAGAGGGGTTCGGGGGCATGCCCCCCCCCGAGAAAATTTGAAATCTAGAACCGCGGAAATGGCATTTCCTGCGATTTCGAGGGTGGAAGGATGCCACTAAACAAAGTTTCCATACACCTCTAACAGGAGTATTTTCGCTTCGTAAAATACAAAAAATGCCATCTGGCCCAGAGAAGATCTGTGTGAGCTCAGAGAAGTGCTGTGCTAGGCAAAAATATTGCCTTCTGCACTGAGTACTGCGTATAACGTTATACCGACCGCGTATAATGTCTCAAGCACCGCGTATAATGCTAAAAGCACCTCGTATGTCTCAAACACCGCGTATATTATTAAAAATAAATGTCTCAAGCACCACGTATAATGTTAAAAGCACCTCGTACAATGTTGCGTGTAGCCCATATATCTTGATATATGTCAAAATCGTCGCGTATAATGCTCGAACTCGAAGTGTAGCACCGCGTATAATGTAAAGAGCACCTCGTATAACGATAAAAGCACCACATACATAATATAATGCTAAAAGCAACGAATGAAATGAAATTCCGCTGTGGCTTTCCATAAGGCTCGTCACGCTCGTTGAAGCCATTGTATACAAATCACAAAAGCAACATCAAATATGATATGAATAGTAATATGATGACCTACCACCGTCACAGTCGTGAATACCCGCGCAGAAAGCTTGTGCAGAAAGGTTTGAATATTAACAACCTCCGCCTTCATAAAATAGCGGGACTTCGGCATTAAAAACAACCGTTCTGGGCATGCGCTGCGCCAATTATCCAACCAGAAACCAGAATTTCTTGTATAAGATAGTATTGCGTATCCCGCCACATGAAAATCAGCGGAACACGAGACATGCGATTCACGAATAGCGTGAGTAAGCAATAAATTGCGTGGAAATTAGCTAATTCTACAGGGTATCAGTTACTAGACAACAAAGAGGTCAAAGAGCAGACAGCAATATTGCGTAAACTTTAAATAAATGACAAATGAAAGCGCTGAAAAATTACCATAATTATATTTAAATTTTCAGAATAAGCAAATTAGCAGTGGTTTTGGCTTCACTATAAAACATTTACACATTTTTTTGGAAATTGTTAGTCCCACCCGGCGGGACAGCGGGACCGCTAACTACGCCACTGCTTGTTTTGTATTTTGCTATAAAAAAACAGAGTAAAACATATAATAGCAGCAATAGGATTCTTAATATTCTATATAACATCATATACGAATTCCTATAGGAAATTCCTACAGGAAAATTCCTATAGGAAATTCCTATAGGAAATTTCTATAAGAAATTCCTATAGGAATTCCTATAGGAAATTCCAATAGGAATTCTATTCGTATAGGATATTCCTATAGAAAATCTACTTCCTATAGGATCCTATAGGAATTCCAATAGGAAATTCCTATAGGAATTCTATTCCTATAGGATCCTATAGGAATTGCTATAGGAAATTCTTATAGGAATTCTATTCCTATAAGATCCTACAGGAATTCCTATAGGAAATGGCATTTCCTATAGGAATTCCTATAGGATCCTATATGATTTTTTCGTAAGGGTGAATTGCTTCGTACAGTATTCCTCTTTATTATTGTCACTTGTATGAAGCGTAAAAGTATACACTAGTATGTTCCCCAAAGCGATGAATTGCATGTATTTTGTAGAGAGGTGTCTGTCCAATTGTGATGAGAAATGCACCATATTTTGAACAAAAATATCACAAATTTCGCACCAAGAGTTATATTTGTTGTCCGCCATTGCTTTTGTAAAGCTGTTGCTACGTTACAATGGTTTTAACCGCTGTCAATATAGGCTGTAGTCTCGTAAACATTCTAAAATTAGCGGGATTTCGTAATAATTTTGATTTGCCGACTTCAAAACATTTATAACTATTGAGTATTGGTAGACTTTTGAAATTTGAGCATCGATCAAGACTCGGTTGGCGTAAAGTTTGTTATATTTTATAATTTTGCTTGTTTTCCATATATCTGGTTGTATTTGCAATGTCGGATATTCCGCCTTTGCGCCCTATGTATACTTGTTTGCAATGGAAATTATGTGTTGAAAGCCATTCATTAGCCGCTTATCTCTTCTTATTTTCAATTTATAAATCTGCCGTGCTCAGATTATTTAGTGCTCGGCAACTCACTGAGCTATACTAGTAAAAATAAACAGCCATTTTGCCAACACTGAACCACTGATCTGTATAGTGCACTGAGTTATCAAGAAAACATGAGCCCGCACGCCCGACCGCTTGATGTCCTCCATTTCTGGCCATGGAATTCTTGTGAAAGAAAGTTGATGTTAAAATCACCTGTTAGTATAACTTCTTTATTAGTCAAGTAGGCGGCTTCAATACACTGATCAAATAGTTTATCATCATCTCTAGAGTATGATGGTGGACGGTAACAGCCAGTTATCAACAGCGAGCGTTTGGACTTGAATGGACAGATTTTGAGCCATAAAATCTCGACAGAATCATATTCAAGGTCGACGCGCCGATTAAAGGTTAATGCGTTACTACAATACACAGCTATATACCTCCTCCAGCTTTATGTAAACGATCTTTCCGCAGTAGAGTAAAACCAGGTATATTGTAGAGGGAGTCGCAGGTTGAAGGTTTTAGAAACGTTTCCGTCAAAAACAAAATATCAATACAATCTGAGTTCGTTGTGAGGAGAATTTACTGCTAGTTAAAGTGCCTATGCGACAATTTTTTTTATGATTGAATTCCAAAGTTCATTTAAAATCATAGTATAACTTGTTTTCTGAAACTTTGTAATCTTTCCTGTATGTAAATATTTTCGACTTTGTTTGATAGACAAATGTGACTTAAATGACGTCACACTTCATAATGAGTTTTTAGAAAGAAAACATATCCTTGTCAAACATGTGATAATTCCATTGACATTGAAAGTGATATACTTTAAGAGCTATCAAAGCGATCATTTCGTCTGTAAATTTGAGATAATGAGAATTTTAACAAGCTACAACACAGTCTTCTGTAAAACGTATTATGCAGTGTGACGTCATTTAAGTCACATTTGTATATCAAACAAACTCGAAAATATTTACATACAGGAAAGATTACAAAGTTTCAGAAAACAAGTTATACTATGATTTTAAATGAACTTTGGAATTCAATCATAAAAAAAATTGTCGCATAGGCACTTTAAATGGTTTACATTCCACTGACCAAAACGGAGTCCTTTATTGGGCAGATGCAACTTTAAATAGCTAAAGTTATTGGAGTCCTGCTGATTACTGATTACACCATGATCTTCAGATGTACTTTCGGAGGTCAAATCAGATTCTAAGGTTGTGTTGCCGGTTGAAGAGTATATATACTATATATATATATATGTTAATCATCACGATATGGCATTTATAATTTTATATATGTTAATCACCGTAGGTAAGTATTTTTTAGTGAACAGGAAAAGTTGAGACTGAGTCGGATTCGAACCGGCGACCTCTGGGTTACAAGCCCATCGCTCTACCAACTGAGCTATCAGCCCGATGGTATATTCAAACCCAACCAGTCACAACCATTCCTGCACACCCACATGGCCACTCACCAAAGCCATGCCGAATTTGTATACCATTTCGACAGTAACATGTCTTCTTCAGCCGTATATATATCACGATATGGCATATATATATATATATATATATATATATATATATATATATATATATATATATATATATATATATATATATATATATATATATATATATATATTGTGGTTATTTGAGGTAAAACGAAAAACTATATTACGCTCTATCTATATGGTATTGAGCACTGTTTGTGTTTCGTAAACCAAAACCTTAAGCTATATATATATATATATATATATATATATATATATATATATATATATATATACCGGGTGTCCCAAAAAAAAGTACTCCTGTTTGATTCGTAATAACTTCTAAACAAGTAAAGCTTTTAAGGAGAAATGACTTGCATTAAATAGAGGAAGGACTAACTTAGATTTTGATATATTACAGTTGTATTTTACTTAAAAATTCACGGAGATATTAATGTTCAAAATCGGGAGCATATTTTGGGATGTGTCTAAAATTAGCGAAAATCGGCATATCAAATATTAATTCCAGCGTTTGTTTGCTTAATGACATATCCGGCTAACTTGTATTTCAGCGAATTGTCGTTAGGGTTTGTAAGGGATATGGCGTAGATTTAGACATCTTACATGTAAGTCTTAGCTCATTGTTTCCTGAAATATAAACGTTCGAAATTATGCAAGTATTTAATATTAGGTCTTTGCAAACTTAAATGTACATGAAAGACTGACCATGGAAGGCAGGCGCTTAAATTTTTCGTATTCTTAAATAGCCTAATTTTTTTATGTTTTTAATGGGTTCAAACAGACTGAGTTGATTATTTCTCGGTTAGAGCAGGATGAATATTATTCTTTATTGAAGGAAATAATATTGCTTTTTGCAAATACACATCACCGTATCAACGCTACTATTTTGTTACGTTTTGTTCAAAAAATGTTGCATGTCTCTGGGGAGTTGCTTAATTGTTATGTCTTATGGAGTTGTATGGTTTGATTGTGTTTCATATAA